TTGTTACCTTCTGGGAGGAGGCTTCGTGGTATCCGTAGCAGAACATCCAGATTCAGCCATAGTTTCATTCCATACAGCATTAACCTTGTGAACTCTCAAGCTTCCTCCTTCCGTTATATATTCAAGATGGACAGTATTTAATATTTATTTGCTACGTATATGTAGGGATGTGGGTCTATACATATGTTGTTCATAGTATTTTAGGTGTGTGTCATGTATGTGTTTCACTTTGAGAGCGGGCAACTAAATTTCATTTTTGATGTGTGCCGTTGTGCCCACAGTAAAAAAATAACAATAAAGGTTATCTTATCTATCTTATCTTATCCGTTCAGTTGCTACTACTGTACTACATTATATGGTGAAGGAATCTGTGAACTAAACCTCTTTAGTATGAATCAAAGCAAAACCCACCCCTGGAATTCTTTGTGTGGCCAATAACTGAGGCCAATAACTAATATTCAATTAACTTAGTGAGAGTTTAAGTTCTATAGAAAAAAATGTATCTTACCTGTAATTCCCAATTTTGTGGCTATGTAGACAGATGGGGATACTCCCCGCGAATTCTTAGAATTAAGTGATATGTTATAATCCACCTTTAGGGAGATGTGCGAGAAAGCAGTGTGGGTGGTCATACTCATTTCTGCATTTCTAGGTGGCATCTGGTTGAGGTTTTGAAATATCACTTGATAGCAAAAGTTTTTGCTTATCGTTTCTGATACATTTACTGACTGTAAAAAAAATATATGAATATTTTTGCATGTCGGTTCAGTGTGTTCTTCCATGTCCCAATACAGGACAATTTGACCAGAACCAAAAAAACATTGGGTTAAAAAAATTCACTGTCATGAAGATGTCTCCTTCTCTGTTTGATTTTCTCTACGGTTGGCCAAAGAGGGCCTAGGATAGAGAAGGGGGAGGTCTTATGTACCTTTCTGGAAGAGATGAAGAAGGTACTTTTTGCCCCCCTCTGTCAAGGCTCCACCTTTGTATAGGAAAATGCAGCAGTGAGGACTGCATTCTCTCACAACTATATTACGGTATGAATTGTTGATATCTCCTTTTCCCCCATCTCCTTTTTTAAAATCAGGATAAGAGGTGTACAGAAACGTTTACCTTCCAGAAGAGAGTAATGTTCTGCATTTTGGAAGAGACCTCCTTCTTTAAATACCAGACATCAACAGGTTCGAACGGCACTGGGAATCAAGAAAAAGAGCTTTGCAATGTAATGTTTATATCAATTTGGGAGCAAACTTTGCCAAGTGTTGGGCAGGTGGCAGGAAACCGATGGAAGGATGCTACGAATGCTTGGCAATTAAGGATTTACTCCTCCTAACAAAAGAAGTACGTAATGATTTAGCCTACCCAACTAGGAAATTTCCCCAAAGTTACCAAAACTCAGACCAAAGATAGAAATTCTTCCAAGTATGATGTCGGTGGGTCTTCATCATTTATAGTACTTTTAAAAGGAGAGATATCAACATGCCCTGCAACACCAATTTATTTTCTATTTCTCCCCAGATATCTATCAGGGGTAGGCAACCTTGGCTCTTTTATGACTCGTGGACTTCAACTTCCAGAATTCCTGAGCCAGCCATGCTGGCTGAGGAATTCTGGGAGTTGAAGTCCACGAGTCATAAAAGAGCCAAGGTTGCCTACCCCTGTTATAGGTAGTCCTCAACTTACAACAATTTGTTTAATGACCGTACGAAGTTACAACAGCATTGAAAAAAAGTGATTTATGACTGTTCCTCATTCTTATGCTCATTGCAGCAACCCATGGTCACGTGATCAAAATTCAGACGCTTGGCGACTGATTCAAATTTGTGACGGTTGCAGTGTCCCAGGGTCATGGGATCCCCTTTTGCGACCTTCTGACAAGCAAAATCAATGGGGGAGACAGATTCACTTAACAACCATGTTACTAACTTAATTGCAGTGTTCACTTAACCACTGTTGTAAGAAATGTCATATACAATGGGGCAAAATTCACTTAACAAATGTCTCACTTCGCAACTGAAATTTTGGGCTCGATTGTGGTCATACGTTGAGGACTTCCTGTATGTTAGTATCCCAACTGGAAAAGGGCTAATTGGTCTCAGCTGGCCACAGTCTCAGTTTAGGGTTAGAGAAGGGACTATGCCAGGGGTAGGAAACCTTGGCTCTTTTATGACTCGTGGACTTTAACTCCCAGAATTCCTGAGCCAGCTATGCTGAGGGGAAAGGGAGAGGTTTCCAAGCTGAGCCATGCTGGCTCAGGAATTCTGGGAGTTGAAGTCCACGAGTCATAAAAGAGCCAAGGTTGCCTACCCCTGGACTATGCTGTATGAGACTACGGCTAAACCATAAGCAGCATGTTTTTTTTATATAAGCAAAGTTGTAACTTAAGCATTATCTTCAACTCCCAAATATATCATTGACGCCCAATAGATACCAGAAGCACTTTTGAGAAATTAATTAAAAAATGAGTGACTGCCAGGTTTTGTCTAGAAATGTGTTTATCTGCCAATAAACAAAGATTTAAGGTTAATTTTAAGGGATAGAAAATTCCCACAGAAGACTAGAGGAGGTTGGAGCAAAGCAACCTTCCTTATTTGTCCTTGAAAATGGAGTTTGACTACCATCAATCCCCACCATTTTGTGAATGAGTAAATGCTTGTGGCAGCTATTTTGTGAAAGGGCTTTAGACCTCCCCTCCCTCCCTTAGTTTTTTTGGACATAAAAATACTTTTTTCATTTCTCCCTAAATCCCTATGACGTTATAGCCTGGCCTGAATTAGTTTGTCCATAACTTATTTTTATGTCAATATCAACATAAATGTTAGACATGTGGAGTTATTATTTTACTACCTGCTTCTGTTTGAAATGCTGGGCTCCAATCACTCCATAAACCTCTTTCCAGAAGAAGCCTGCAGGAAACTTGGAACTCATATTTTATCTTCGGCTGTAGGCCATGAAGATCATACTTTCTAGTATTTAGATTTTCAAGCTGGCATGAAAAGAAATGAAAGCACGCATTTACAACTTAATAAAAGATGTTTTTCTCTGGTAGTTGCAATTCCACTGAGAGACAAAGAAGTTTTATTTATGCTCAACAGAACTCTGTAACAATCCTGTAAATGCTATAGGGTGCCCCAGTTGGGCACTGCAAGAGAGATACATGCTCTTCTAAATTAAATGCCAGACCTGGCACAAGCATTCACATTTGTTCCTAAATATGTGCTGGGACGAATGCTTCATTATTCTGTAAACACAAATCTCCATCTTGTTTCTTCTCTGTACAGAAGTGTGAGTCTGCTTTAAAGTTAAAGTTGTCACTAATGAACATTATTAGGTCTATTAGGACCTCACTGATGGGACAAGGCAGAATTGCAAAACTATTTTTATCATTGGTTGAATTCAGACATTGCACATGCTTTTCTTAACTGTTGTTACCTGAAGATGCCCCATTGATTGGATCAACACATCATGCTCCTATTACATCAGGATATATATTGCATAAAACATGCCATTGCTTTCTTAGCTATTGGATGCTTACTATGGGACTGAAAACATTGACATTATATCTGAGTATGACTAAAGCATCACATTAGTAATATAGAAAATAATAAAGTACTTACATAACCATTAAAAATAAAATATCCTTACTGTCTCTCTTATTTGTACTGTTATCCAAAGACTGTAATAAAGCAATTTCATTTCATTTCAACATTCCTACCGTAATCCAGGAATTACTGTGGATTGGTTGGTATCTCAGTCTAAAGCACTGTGTTTCTTGCGGATCTTGCCATAAGATGGTACAATTTTGGGGAGCAAAGGCATCACATCTTACTGAGAGGTCCACAGGAGGGTGAGGCTTCACTGTGTTGTGATGATCAGTTATGCACCAAACATGAACAAAAACACAACATTATTTTTGGAAATAAAATTCTGAGCTATAAGAATCACCACACTGTAACAGTCCTCAAGACCAGACTATCTAATCTGGTATCTTGTTACACGCAGTAATATGTTAGATGCTCTTGAGAAGACCATAAATGGGAAATGAGAACAATATAACCACTTACTTATAAACTTGAAAATTATATTTAGCTATCCACTGTCTATAACAGTAGTGGCGAACCTATGGCACGGGTGCAGAGGCGGCACTCAGAGCACTCTCCGTGGGCACGCGCACCGTTGCCCCAGTCCTAGGCCTTCAGCTGGGTTTTATAAAACCTTTTCGCTTTAGGCCTCTGCCGCCGTGTGCAAAAAATCTGCCACAGATTACCCCCCACCGACCTGTACGCTCTCACAGAGTGGGTCTCCTCAGGGTGCCGTCGGCCAGACAGTGCCGGCTGGCGACCCCAAGGGGGAGGGCCTTCTCTGTGGGAGCTCCCACCCTCTGGAACGAACTGCCCCNAAGACGTGGTTGTTCCAGCAAGCGGGACTGGCCTAGGGGATTTTATAGGGGTTTTAATTACTTTTAAATTTGACATTCTCAAATATTTCATTTTAATCAAATTTTAAACTAGGTGTAATATGTTAGCTTTTTATCATTTGTCAGCCGCCCTGAGTCCGAAAGGAGAAGGGCGGGATATAAATACAATTAATAAAATAAATAAATTAATAAATAAATAAATAAATAAAAAAAAAAAAGGTTCAATCAGTCAATTTCAACTTCTCGCGGGAAAAAAAAATCTTGCAAAGTTGGAATTGATTGATTGAACTTTTTAGTCCCACCCAGTCTGCCGTTACCACCGCAGCCACACCCACCCAATCGGCCATGCCCAGCCAATGGGCCACACCCAGCCAATGGGCCACACCCATCCAGCACCCGATGATGCATAAGTGGGTTTTGGGTTGCAGTTTGGGCACTCGGTGTCTAAAAGGTTCGCCATCACTGGTCTATAATCATGAAAGGGACACATATTCACATTGCTTTATAGAATCATTATCTATTTCCTTGTTCCAACCGTCTCTCTGTAACTTTACGGATAGTCCCCAATTTACAAACATTCATTGAGCAACTGTTCAAAGTTACAACAGAACTGAAAAAAGGGGACTTACAAACTTGCACTATGACCACTGCAGCATCTCCACAGTCATGTGATCAAAAATTGGGCACTTGGCAAGCGACATGTATTTACAAGGTTTGCAGCATCCTGGAATCATATGTTTGTCATTTATGACCTTCCCAGCTGGCTTCTAACAAGCAAAGTCAATGGGGGAAGCCAGAGTCCCTTAACAACCAAGTGATTCACTTAAACAACTACAGCGATTTGGGGCATAAGTCCAAAAATTCCAAAAGCGGTCTGGGTGAAAAGCACACAGGTTTCTATTTGCTTATTGTTTAAAGATCGGTGGCATAAACCTGACTTTTTTAGTAGTTTTATCCCACCTGAGTTACTCAAAATAAGACACATGAGAGAATTGCCCCTCATTTTCTCCCCATTAACATTACCGTGTAAGATAGAGATAATGGGCCTAAAAGAGATAATGAATGAATCAATGCCATACAGAAAGCTCCATGACCAGGTGGGGAGTTAAATTTAAGTCCTCTCTGACCGTGGTCCTATTTAGCCCCTATATCACAACAGGCTTCCTGGGATCTTATTCTGTATGCAACACCTGCAGGCATTTCTACACCACTTTGGTTTAAACGCCATCAAAAGGCCACCTCCAAAGTTAATTTGTCAAGGGCTGCAAAATACTATTTAGCAAAGGCAGCAAAAAGACTTTCAATACAAGAGCTGTTTTATTTAGTTGGACTGACCGACTGGTTAGAAATTAAATCATTACTCAAAATATTCTTTCCAATAATTTATCAGAATTCCTTATAATTACCAATGTCTATTAATGTGAACTGCATTGGTTCAGAAGAATTGCTCCCAAGTTTATTTGTGGCTTCAACCACAATTGTATAAGTAGTTTCAAAGTCCAGCTTTTCTCTGAGATCTACTGTGTGATCTGTAGTGCTAATTTTTTCTCCCAAGGCTGTTCCATTTGCTACCCTGCAACAAAAAAAAGAAACTGCGATAAACAGTGTGAACAATGTTCCCTTCTCCTTCTCCTTCCCCTTCTCACTTTCCTTCCTTCCTTCTTTTTTCCTTCCTTCCTTCCTTCCTTCCTTCCTTCCTTCCTTCCTTCCTTCCTTCCTTCCTTCCTTCTTGCCTAAATTAATTTTACACCTATATAACATTGTATGACAGTGACAGAAATTATATTACCACTTAAATGTTCAGTTCATAAGCAAGGACTTGTTTCTTTGTAGATAATTTGAACCCGATACTTTAAATTATAATATCCAGTTTAATCATTTACTCTAATATTTCAGTTATTTTAATTTGGTTAATTTTACTTTGCCCTAATATTCAGTTTAGTCTTCCATGTGATTAGTCAAAACCCCAATGCCTGCCCTCAGACTCAATGACAAATCCCAAGTATAGAATCATAAACTCAGAAAAATGACAAAATGAATAATGAAAACCCTGCACAACTTTTTTTTGAAATCTGCATTTTATATATATCATGAAACCAAACCAAATCAAATCCAGAAGGTGGCAAAATTTCTTTCACATTGTGTTTTTGCATCTGGATTGTGAATCAGATATTTCAACCAGTGTTACAAAAGTTTTTGGCATTTTTATTATATCAAAATTCTTTTACATGGCCTCCATCCCAAGCATCTAGTGTATCTAAGAATTGTGAATATTCATGTGATATAACCTGAGTCTATAGCACCCAGAGATATTTAACTAATGGGCCAAAAAGGGGAAGTGTGTGATCATAAGCCATGATATCTGTCTACACTTGGATAAAATTAGATTTACCAACCATCAAGAAAATCTTCTGATGGGAATAGATGATTAGGGAAGGGAAAAGGAGATTTTTTTTTTATTCCTGGACTTTCTACTCACAATATAAAGATCCATGCAATTGTGAGGGACAGCCACAGATTTTAAAGCCACAGAGATTAAAGAGGAAGCAACAATATCAGCTGGACCAAGTTTATTGAAGGATATCCAACCTAATTTTATTCTCAGAGCTATCCATTAAGGTGAAGGATGTTATTCTTTTTGTAGAGTTAAGTAAGGTTCAGTTCCTCATGGATGGACTACGCCATCTTCTCCTTTGCCTCAGACTGTATAATATTTTGCATTACTCTAATAATGGGATCAAATCCTTTAAAAAAAAACCTTGCAGAGCAAAGATCGATGTCGGGTGCTTATGCCCTAATGGTTAACAACCATGGCCTATATTTTGATCAAAGCTAGCTCAAATTCACTCATTTCATCCCAGGTGGCACATAAGAAAATGGAAACAAAGATAAAGTGATGAAGCAAAATTGGCCAGATATAAACTTAATTATAAGGGAGACAGAACTTACCATAATGTATAGATAGTAATCAGATAGGTATAATATCCTTTATCCCAAGCACAAATGGGGCGTCCATATTTTCCATACTGAGCGCATGATACATTTTTGGGTTGATCTGGAGCGACTTTTAAAAAAGGAAAAATGGTCAGTGGCTGAGATAGGAAATGACTCTTTTGGTTTGAATCTTTGTTGTTTGGAAAAACTCTTGTGTAAGAGTTTATATTTGCATTTGAACACTTCCAGCGTACAGTAAATCCCTGCATCAAAATCTCTTTTGAGGAAAGGCTGGCCACGTGTACAATAAAAATGCATGTATTTTACCAGGGAAGTGGAGTTATTATGATTTCATTCTATCTTCCCCATTAATTTGGGAAATATAATATTACCAAAAATGGTTTGGTTTTGTAGTGGTTTGCTTTTATGGATCTGATGGGCATTGCAACAAAGCAGTGATGGTAAACACAGATATGTTCATGCACGACTCTCGTTCTTCTCACTGCAGTCCTATTCTTACAAATAATCCAGCTAAAGTCAAACACTTTATAGCAGTGATGGCGAACCTTTTAGAGACTGAGTGCCCCAAAACCGCCCCCACCCCCGCCCAGCCCCCACTCTGCCCCCCTGCCTTATCCGCCACCCCACCCCAGTCGCCCTCAGGGCCACACACCGCCTCTGCAGCCTGCAGCAGATCGCCCAGGTGGCCCTGCAGCACCATGGCAGCCACACCCTCTGCCCACGCCCCATAGCATCAAATGTGTGCCATGGGGCGCGAGGGCAGAGTCTTGTCCCTGCTGCCATGTCCTTGGCTGCACTGCTCCACATGGGTGACGCCCAGGGGTGATTCTCCTCCGGGGGAGGAGGGGTTGGAGGGGGAGGCGGGGCTGGGGGATGGCACACGTGCCCACAGAGAGGACTCTGCGTGCCATAGGTTCGCCACCACTGCTTTATAGCATAAAAGTGGAAAGAGGAAAGGCTGTATCTTATTTTCCTAGGCAAAGCCTTGGTGAGACTTACTGATTTCAAATAGAAAATAGAACTGTCAGCGAGATGAATAAAAATTATAGAAAATCTCAAAGGAAGAGATAACACCACATTCCTCTATTCAAGATTTTGAGTCATTATAACACATTTTTATGAGGCTGTAACTTGGTCAAAAGCAATAATTCTCTTTTGTCAGACGGACATATGAAGCACCTATCTTACCAAAATCTGCCTTTCCTCGATCTATTATTCTAATATTAATTTCCCCCAATTAAATTATCCCACCCAAAGGCTCTATCTCATTATGTCTCCTTGGCTACATAAAACCATATATTTGTAACAGAACAGTGTTTCCCAAAGTAAATAAATCCCCCTCTTGTTTTCTTCCATTTAATTTAATGAAAGTTTTAAAAAGCTTCTTACTTCCAACAAAAACATAAATTCCACATATGAGCTGTAATCTTGATCCTTTGCACTTGCATTCAAATGTCTGCTTCCCAAAAGTATTCAGTAGAATCTGGGTCCTGATTGAAGATTTCGGAGAGCTGCTGCTACTGATAATGGAGTGGTTTTGTAACAAAACTATGTCACAATTCGAACTGTTGGAACTCCTGTTTAGCCAGCAGGACAGATCCACTGTTGATTTTAATGGCAGCTCTGTGCCATTTGCACGCATGCCTCCCCTGGAAGACAGGAAAGAACTCAACAAGGAGGGCGGTTAAGGTGCAGGATTTTTTTGTTTCGTTATTTCACTCTTCTATGATTGTTTTATTTATTGGTTTTGTTTTTGCAAGCCGCCCAGAGTTGCAGCCATATAAAAGGGCAGCCATATAAATCTTTTAATAAATCAGGGGTTGCCAGAAAGAAGAGGGAGTCAAGCTATTCTCCAAAGTACCTGAAGGCAGGACAAGAAGTCATGGATGGAAACTAATCAAAGAGAGAAGCAACCTAGAACTAAGGAGAAATTTCCTGACAGTTAGAACAATTAACCAATGGAACAACCTGCCTCCAGAAGTTGTGAATGCTCCAACACTGGACGTTTTTAAGAAGAGACTGGACAACCATTTGTCTGAGATGGTATAGGGTTTCCTGCTTGAGCAGGGGGTTGGATGATGATGATGATGATTATCAACAAATATTATTTCTTGCAACATAAATAAACTGGTTTTGGGTACCATATGTTTTGTCCTGTGCCAGTAAAAATGCTTGTGTTGGATGCCCCCAACATGGCAAAACAAATAGCACATAACAAGGACATCTACAGAAGAAGTAAAAAAAGAAAATAATAATAACAGTTGTGGCTGCAACTCCATTGTCAATCATCTTGGTTTTGTTAACAATCCAAGGCTCCCATTTATGGTCTTGGCTCCCATTAATCTCATCTTTACTCTTATTCCAAACCTTAATCCTGGAGGCTATATTCAAAGTCTATCATCAGGGTAAAGTTGCTATCTAGTCTTTTTCAGCTGGTGTCCTCCCCCAAAAATGTTGGATTTGGGGTCTTTTTAAGTGCAGGACCCAATTGTTCTTCGGTGCCCATTGTGTTGAGTGACCTATATTGATTGAGGATTACCGGAGTAAAATATAAGGCATAAGGAGCACCAGATTGAAGGAAGCTGCTCAAAAGTCGAAGCCTGTTCTTTTTTTAAAAAAAACTTTCTGCAAAACCAAGTACCTATTTTCTCTCTATTTTTGTCTCGGTTTGTTAGCCGTTAAAATATTGTTGGGGCAAAACAAGGAATCTCCTACCATTGCCCTGCTTTCAAATTGCCTCCTAACCAAGCTTCCAGTGTTTATGAATGCAGTGAAGGAAGACAAAATAGTGGCTTCACTTGCCCATGAGCTGCAACTTCCTGGGTGTTCTCTTTTTTTTAGCTATTGAAGGGAAATCACACACACTTCTCTGAAATGGTTGTACAGGTGAGCAACTTACACCATGAGATAGTGGGCTGTCGGCACCGAAAGAAAACCATGGAGGTGCAGAGGAAGAAAGGACTCTGCCAAGTTCTAATGCTGTCATCTCCACCCATTCTTATCTCTGCTTCCTCCCATTTTTAACTTAGAAATAGATTTGGAATCGATAGATCATTATAGAAAGAACTTTTAGGGGGAAAAAATTTCACGCAAGCAGTTTAGCTCGAACTTGGACTTTCCTGACTGAAATTCTCACTGTTGGTACGTTGTGTGCCAAAAATAGCAGAACCACTACCATTTCCTTTACGTGTGAGAACTGAATGGAAGGTGAGGCATGCCACAACACAGCTTTTGCATGTCACACAAGGCAGGGGTATTAGAGAGGGTTTGCTAGAACACCCAAGCGCTGCCAGAAAGGAGATAGGACAAGCCAGAAAATGCCTGTTTGCAGGGCCCATCCTGATTCTTTACTAGACACAACTAGAGTAGAAATGGAACAAGGTTTCAACTCTAAAAAAAAAAAATGCAAGAAGCTTACTTCTCCAATAGCTGTTTGTCCACAAAATAGTCTGCCTCTGCCTCAGTGGATGTCACAACCAACTGTAGAACAATCATAAAAGGAATTCTACAGGGTGGTTGTAAATAATTTTAGTTAATAATTTCAGCCACCTTTAAAACACCCTATGGCAGGGGTTTCCAAACTTGGCTACTTTAAGACTTGTGGACTTCAACTCTCAGTCCATGCTGGCTGGGGAATTCTGGGAGTTGAAGTCCACAAGTCTCAAAGTTGCCAAGTTTGGAGACCCCTGCCCTATGGGCAGAAGGATACGAATATTTATTTTGGATTTCTTAAAATTGTTTTTATTGTTTTAAAATGTTTTTATTGTTTGCAATAGTGGTGAATATCTGTAGCTCGGGTATAGGATGAGGGTGAGGGTTCCTTCTCCAAGCTTGTGGGTTGGTTTCCCAATGTTTTGTTACCAGGCTAGGTAACATCATCAGCGGAGTTTAAGGGGTGGCTGTGTCAGTGCTCTTCTGTTTATCATAATCTCCCCAGAACAATTTCTCCAATGCATCAAACACAGCAAGATGAACAAGGAAGCAATTATGGTCTCCTTCAACATCACCGCCCTCTTCACCTCAATTGGCATCGACCTGGCTAAACAAACTACACACCACCTACTCACCAAAGACCATACCCACAAAGATGACGTCACTACAGCACACTCCATGTCCACGGAAACCATCATGAAACTCCTGGACCTATGCCTCGACGCATACTTCAATGGGAAAATGTACGAGCAAATACAAGGCACCCCGATGGGATCTCCCTTATTAAGCCTTATAGCAGAAGCAGTCATGCAACGACTCGAATCCATAGCTCTACCCACCATCCAACCAAAACTCTGGACTAGCTACGTGGATGACACCTCCGTCATCATCAAATGCTCCCAAATGGAAGAAATACACCACCTACTGAACACTTTTACGCGACGGTTTCCGCTTGCATTCTTCTGATAGCAAAACGTTTACTCCTAGAATAAAAAAGCACAAAGGTGGTTCATAATAAACAATTCAAAGCCTAAGCAATTATAAAAGCAAAGAAGTGATGCTTATCATTGCAGGAGGATATTACAGCAATTAGGGCAATGCTCTTTGGCAGCATTGTCTCCAACAGAAAGTGAAGCTGAAATTTTTTCAAAGTTGAGCAGACCTAGTGCAGTGATGGGATTCAGCCGGTTCGCACCACTTCGGCAGAACCGGTAGCTAATTTTTTGTTGCCCAGGCCCAGAGTGGACTTCTGGAAGTGGCATCTACACAGAGAACCGGTTGTTCACATATTTGAACCCCACCACTGCCCTAGTGGACTTAGACCTCTCATAGTTAAGAAATGAGAGTCCAGATCCTCTTCATACAAACATAGTTCTTTCTCCAAATTTGCTGTTCAGACTTTCTGGTGCTTTTTCCAAATACCGATTCAATAGCTCTATAGCTGACTGTACATTGTCTATATCAAATCTGTGTTGCCATTATTTGTATTCCCAAACTCTAATCCCAGGTTTTTTTTTACTTAATATGATCAGTACCTCTATAGTTTGGATGGAGCCATTTGTTCATACATCACCCTCCTCACTTGGCAGAAGATTTGTGATGTTTATTATGATAGGATAGGAATATTTTTCTTCCTGTGACTCTTCTAGATTATTGGCCTTACTGAAGATACGTAGGCTAAAAAATTCACAGATTTCCACAACTCACTTACCTGCTCCCAAGAATACTAAAAAACACATTTTTAAAGGCAAGCTTCCTATGTCAAGCATCTTGATATCTTCTGCTGAATTTTTACTCCTGTTTTTTGTTTTTTTTAAAAAAAACCTAATTATCAGTACATATAGTCAGCAAATAATCCTTTAAGGAGGAATACGCTTTCATATTTTTGGCACCGTACTCAAAAGTTGGATTTCATCAGAAGCAATCATACTGCATAGGAATGACGAAGCGTGGATATTCTTCTAGAAACAGATGTTTGTGCCAAGAAACCAAATGGTTTGTATCCAGGATTTGTCTTTTCTTTCAGAATCTTTCCTTTCTCAAGCTGTATTTTCTTCGCTGCTTCTCTACCCACCCACCCAACCCTCGGTTCAGGAACAATACTTGATGATTTATGCAACTTGTCATGAAATGTATTTCTTTGATTTCTTTTTTGATTATGAGCAATATTTCCCAAGTTTTGTTTCTGGGTTCATGAAGACTGAAACGAAACAGAGATGAGAATTAGAAGATGAAAAGCCTTATCAGGTTTATTGTATTTATTTTGAAAGAATTGCCAAGACATAAATCTGAAAAGCTCAGGGTTGCACAGTATAATTGCACGTTTTCTCATTCTTTCACCACCATACAGTGGATATAAAAGGTCTATACTCTCCTGTTAAAATACCAGGTTATTTTGATGCAAAAAATAATAAATCAGACAAAGATAAATCACTTCAGAATTTTTTACCACCTTTAGTATAACCTATAAAGTGTACAAGTCAATTGAAAAACAAACTGAAATCTTTTAGTGGGAAAACTAACAATAAAAAACATACAATAGTGTGCAATAACTTGAACTACAGTGAAAATTGGACAACTTTATGAAGGGACCTTTACCTGGGTGCCATCTTCCATATGGAATATGGAAAACTTTGAAGAGATTGAGAACAGGGGTGTCATGATGTAAGAAGAATTTGAAGATATGGGACTATATCACAGGAGACAGAAATATGAATGTGGGAATTGCAGAGTCCTGAACATTTACTGAGATGCCATAATCTTGATGGACCATGTACAGTGGATGATTTGTTCCTGGTCAATGATAAATCTATTCAGATCGCTACTTTATGAGCCTCCAATGCTATGTAATGTCACATAAGTGTTTCAATTCCTTCCGTGTGGTAATTTTTATATTGGTTATGTATACTAATTTTAAATATAATATTTTTCTCATCTTAATGTAAGATGTTCTGGATTTGGGAAATAAAAAAGGGCTAATGGATGATTACTTCAAAGACTTTATTATTTTGAAAAAAATATGCATAAAAATGTTTGTGCGTGAACTATAAATAAACTAGGCAATGTGGAAAACCCGCAGCCTAACATTAAAATAAGTACAAGATAGACAGCGATATTGTTTAGATAGATCGTTGCTTTTAAGTGGCAAAGTATGTTATTTGTGAAACCATTTCCCTTGCCATTTTTTTAGAAGGAGTAAGTGACTTATCT